TTATTAACTTCAATTTTCAGAAATATTAGTAAGATTGAGTGCAAATGGGAGTGAGGCTTGCGTAGAGATGAATCTAAATGCACTATTATTGAAGGCATGTTTTGTACGTATTATTGAATATTACAAATAACGAGATTTTAACTGTTTTACCTTAGTAATGTTCGACATTATCCGATTAATAATGACATGTCATTAGAGTTCATTTATTAATTACTAGTACTTGAAGCGGATGGAGAGATTTGAAATACTATAGTGTTACAAAAAAATCTTTAAAATCACTAGTTTTCAAGTTTTGAGACTGCCTATTACATATCTTGGAGTCCTATTGCTTTTTGGCCCCATTCTAGATAAATGAGTAGGTGTCGAAACAAACATTTATCGACCTTTTAAAAAAAAAGGAAAGAAAGAAAAATGCTTATACATATATTTGAGAAATTCATAAAATGAATATGTTTTACTAAAATGATGCAATTTGAAAATAGAAGAGTTTGTTTGACAACATATTTGACAAGAAAAAATGAGAAATAATCAAATATTATAATTCTAATGCGTGTTGTCTCATCTTATTTATCATCCTTATTTTGTTCCACTTCCCCCACTGCGTAACCCGTCTTCTTTAATTTCTCGTGCATCCTGTCCCACTTTCCAATCTATTGCATATGTGCTCGATGGTAGTTTAGGAAGAGCTCAAGAGTTACTAAGCTAGTACTCTACAGCTCGGTAGACACGAAGATTGCTAGGGTGGGGCGCAATATTGAATTAAGAGGAAAAGTTCGAACACAAGGGGGAAAGCAATGGAAAAAGAAATGAGGTAAAGGAAAGCAAAAGGATAAAGACGAAAATAGTTAAATTTGGGATTTCAAGTGTAGAAAAAAATAAAGAAGTGAACAATTTTCAAAGAATAATGCTATTTATCCTCACCGTGAATCATCCATGTATCATGTGATGAGGAGTGAAACGATAAAGGCAAATTAAATGCGTAGATATGAGATATGTTGACCTCTGAATCTGGTTAGGACCCAGCGCATGAACATATCTCCACTCATCTATCCTCCACGTGTGCATTACTTGCACTTTTGGACACACTGTAGAGGCCCATTCTGAGACTTCTCCAAGCAAGGCAGAGGGTAATGATAGTATGCTTTTTAATGCTCAAGTCAATAAAGGGACAATGAATTTACTATGGGAAAACATGAAAGAAGAAGAAATGAGAAAGTCAAATTTATATTTTAGATTTAGACTAACAATTTGCAATTACCTTCAAATGATATCAATTGCAAGTATTTAGATGCCAATAGATGAAACTGAAGTTTTCCAGATGCTTGACATGTGGTATTATCCTAACGATTTAGGAGTCAAGCTCAATGACGTCATAATAGAAAAGAAGAGATTTGACTCACAGTCACCCTTACAAAAATATCACATCAATCAAATCGTGTGTGACTTAATGTTTTAGATTGTAATTTGTACTAGACATTCGGGATTTGACTTCCCACCTCAGTCTAAGCGTTGGGTCTCCTCTAATCACCTCAATCGCCTGGAATCAAGAGGTTAGTTAGGTGTGGCTAAAGGTTAAGTTTTCTTTGATCGTCTCGAGGAGAAGACGTAACAAGTCTGTAACGAATTGTGTTCTCTCAGAGGTTGTTATCGACGACGTGTTGAGTTGTACTCGTAACGCCTTAAAATTGAACGTAGACAAGGCACTAGTACATGGCCTCACGTCTCAAACATGAAGGTGGAAGAGTCGATACTGAAGTTGCTACTCATCTCAAAATGAAGTGCGCTCGTGGAATTTTGCTTAGCGATAACAACATAGCTTGCCAGTAGGTAAAGGTGTAACATCGTTCACTCTATTGATCTTATTCTTTAATTCTAAGGTAAATCATAAATATCGTTACTTAGTGTACATTTGGGCACGGTTTGCATTGGGTCAATTTCAACTTCAACCCGAAATGAAAATCAAATTAGTTGGTTTGGGTGAATTTCACCCAAACCAACCCACTCTAACTCTTAAATCGAACCTACACAACCCAAATCGGTTTGGTTTGGTTTGATTAGTTGGTTCGGACTTTTAGTTGAAATTGAATTTTTTTTTTAAAAAAAAAAGTTGTTTGTATTTTGGGTCTACTTAGATTATAAGATCTATTGAGTAATAAATAAAATTAGGTTAATAGAGACAAATCAATAGAAAATTTAAGAATTTTGTGGGTTTTATGCATTATGTAGCCTAACTACCTAAGGAGAGAAAAAAGCTTAAGCATAATATAATGAGCTTGTGAAAGAAAATTTTCAGTGCTATTACTTACTAACAACATCTTAGATTGGAGGGAATTGAAATATAGTTATGAGATTAGGTTTATCTTTTGATTATTATTATTTTTTTTAAATAAAAGGTAAAAATGTAAGTGGGTTATTTTAGTTCGGTTAACTAATGGTTTGAGATTTCAAATCATGGCCTAGATTAGTTCAGTTAATTAACGGTTTGAGGTTTCAAATCATGATTGAACCAACCTGCTATGGTTTTGTAAAAGAAAAAAGAAAAATCAAACCAATTACATGTGTCAAACAGATCCAACGTGTGTTCAAAAAGTCGAGAAAAAAAAATGAAGAAATATCTAGTTTGAAGTTCATTAATTGGATTGACGCATTGAACCAAACTCCCATGCCATCACATGGGAACGTTGAAGTGATTGAACAAAATGTCAACATACTACGAAAATGATAGTCGTATTCCCCCAGTTGTCAAACAAAACCCTGCGATCAAAAGATAAAACAAATTACCCGCTCATCTCTGTATTTCATCCCAAAAATGGCACAATCGCTTTTTCTGATCACCCCAAATATTCCCGTACACTCATCCTTGCAAGGTATTTTCTAGCTATAATCCGTATTCCTTGTTTCATTTAATTATATGTAGTATAATGAAACTTCAATTTGCTGAAAATAAGTAAAGATTTTTGTTAATTAAGTAAATATGGATTATCTTTGATTATCAGTAACAGTTTATTGCTTGAAACTTTAGCATATTATCGAATTGTTGCAAGAATTCTTGTTTAGAGCTTGTTTCCCCAAGCTCAAAGAACCCGCATTTTACTTCACCACGGGGAAGAGCTCTTGAGCAAGTTAACTTGATTGTTGTTTAGAGACTAATTTTTAAAAAAGTTTCGTATTCCGCTTCTAGAGGAAGATACATTGTACTAATTTACTCAATGATCTCTTCGAATTTGAAGAAGCACCCTCGTAAAATTAGTCAAATAGATTCAAAAGCTCCTTTTAGCTCTCGAAGGTTACTTTTGGCTTTTTAAAAGCCATGCCAAAGGCCCCTAACTATAGGTCAGTCTACTTATAAGTAAATAAGTAGGCCATAATTAATAAAATGCAAGAGTTACTTCAAAAATTATTGAGAAAAATGTGAGGTATCCGAACATGTTTGGTTAAAAGCCAAACGTGCTTATCAATTACATCATTCTGGCCAGCTTGGGTTTGAGGACTATCTTTTTCAGTTCTGTTATAGGGATGTATCAGTGTTAAGTTGCACATTCTTTTAATAGTAAAATCTGATTTTCAGTAAATGTGTCATTTGATCAAGGCTTCCATTTTTAGCTGCTGTCGGAATTGATGTGATCGATAAGCTTCTGGCTATTTGTTCTGTATTTTTGTTGTTCATTCACCATTCTGTTTTGTTAATCATCCAACTATTCCTTGCCCATCCCGTCAGGTGATGAGCAGAGGCCAGGATTTTTTGCATCGAAAAGTAGACCGTGTATTCTGAAGCTTTCATCCAATTTCAGAGCAACAGCACAAGCAGCTCAGCGAGCTGATTCTAAAGGAATTGAAATTCCTCGCCAGTGGTACAATCTAATTGCAGATCTTCCAGTAAAACCACCACCTCCTCTTCATCCAAAAACTTTCGAACCAGCAACACCGGCAGATTTGTCACCTTTATTTCCGGATGAGTTGATTAAGCAAGAGGCCTCCAATGATCGTTTTGTTGACATCCCAGAGGAGGTTATAGATGTTTATAGGCTTTGGCGGCCTACCCCTTTGATCAGGTTACTTCTACTTTGTCTAAGATTAGACATAAATTGATAAATTTGTTCCCTATGTTAGTTTTGGAAGAGGTGATTTAACATGGTATAGAAAGAGGCAAAGGTGCTGAGGTCAAGTCACCCCCATCCATTTATAAAATTTGTATACTTATCTCTCTTTTGATGAAAAATTGAATCTTGGTTTGTACAGGAGGCAGTTGTTGATCATTAATTTTTAATATATAAATGTGTTTTCTCCTTGGTATCTTAAGATTTTAGATGGGAGTGTTTTAACGTACTTGTCCTCAATGGATATTTACTGCATTGTCTATTTCACTTAATTAGTTAAGAAAATCTCATGCTTGTCGGTTAAATTCAGAGCTAAAAGATTGGAGAAACTGCTCGATACGCCGGCTAGAATCTACTACAAGTATGAGGGGGTTAGCCCAGCTGGGTCACACAAACCGAACACTGCAGTACCACAGGTCTGGTACAACGCACAGCAAGGTGTCAAGAACGTAGTTACAGAGACTGGTGCTGGCCAATGGGGGAGTTCACTTGCTTTTGCGTGCAGCTTATTTGGTCTCAACTGCGAGGTAAATAACTTTTCATGAAGCATGTAATGTTTAATTGGCTGTTTCACATGCCCAATGTAAATATATGAATTAAGCCTTGATCCCTACTTCTAAGAGGAATAAAAATTAGAAAAGCAATTAGAAACGAGCAAAGCGCACACATAGTTCACCCTCAAAACGAGAGCTACGTACACTTGTCAATAGAAGTTTTACCTGACATCTCTCTTGCACACCCAAAACGGCCCCCTAATAAATCATTTATACAATAGGAATATTAGGTTGACCTTATACATGTATAATGCCAAATAAACCCTTTTCACACAAAATATTCTCCACATAGTCCAACAGTAATTTGTATGTTGATTCACAATCAAGGCATAAGTGTATAATATGATGCATAGAGAATTTTAGCCAAGCATCAGTTTTTATGAGCCAGATGTCTTGTTGTTGGTTCTACTACAGGTGTGGCAGGTCCGTGCTTCTTATGATCAGAAACCATATCGTAAATTGATGATGCAAACTTGGGGCGCCAAAGTGCACCCTTCACCTTCCAGTATTACTGAATTTGGTCAGAGAATACTCGATAAAGATCCATCAACCCCAGGAAGTTTAGGAATGGCTATTTCCGAGGCTGTGGAGGTAGCAGCTACAAATGCTGATACCAAATATTGTCTAGGAAGTGTTCTCAATCATGTTTTGTTACATCAAACTGTTATAGGGGAGGAGTGCATAAAACAGATGGAGGCTATAGGGGAGACTCCAGATGTGATTATTGGCTGTACTGGGGGCGGGTCCAATTTTGCAGGACTTGCTTTTCCATTTATTCGGGAGAAATTTAATGGAAAGATCAACCCTGTTATTAGAGCAGTTGAACCTGCAGCATGCCCCTCCTTGACAAAAGGTGTATATGCTTATGATTATGGTGATACAGCCGGGTTGACTCCTTTGTTGAAGATGCATACTCTTGGACATGACTTTGTACCAGACCCTATTCATGCTGGTAAAGCATTGTTTTACAATAATTTTTGCTTACTGTTACGAACCCTTCTCTTTAAATCACTTGTTTTCCAGGTGGTCTGCGGTACCATGGAATGGCTCCATTGATTTCGCATGTCTATGAATTGGGTTACATGGAAGCAATTTCGATTCAGCAGAAAGAATGCTTTGAAGGTATTCATCTTTTCCTTCTCCACATAAAGCTCAAAGTAGAGAGTTTGTTGCTTGTTCTGGATACGAACTGACATTACACCAATTTACAACCCCAATCTTTCAGTTTCGGTGCACATTTGTCTTCATCCTCATTGGATGGATGCCATAAAAAATAAGTGTTATTTTTGTCAACCCACTCCATTTCCCTGTGCTCACCTCTAGTCTATCGACTCTTTTCTTTTCCTCTTTTTAACTGTTTTTGAGTGAAACTGGCATTGGAGTGGATTAGGTGAAGGTAATTCTCAAGTAAGTCACATGCAAAGTAGGTGTCTCATTAACTAGAAAAATTGATGGTTTTTGTCCGCTAAAAATATACACCGCAAGTGCACAGGGTCGTGATCAAGTAGTAAAATGGACCTTTTGCGTCCGAGTCAATTCCTGGAAGAGCGTTTCTTCCAATTACAAGAGAATTGATTCAATTTAACCAAAAAGACACAATTAAACTATTTGAAATTAGAATTGAAAGGAAAATGATTAACTTTAAACTAACAATTGCGAAAGTTGTAGGATTTTTAGATTTCAAATGGGTTGGAATTTA